TAATAATAATTAATTATTATTATATATATATATATATATATATATATATATATAGTTGTATGCAATTTTATTCTTTAATAAAGAAGAAAAATAATTTTGTAAATAATATAAATATATAATATAATAATATATAAAAAATAATATTTTTATTATCTTACTGATATTTCTGATATCTGATTAAACTGAAGATTTAATTTCTTCAGCTTTACATGAGTTACGAGCCAATCACCAAAAATGTCCGAAATATTATTTTTGTCCAGATACAATTCTTCTAGAGATGAACAACTTTGAAAAGGTGATCTCCTTCCATATTCATCTATATAACTATTTATCGAAGTATTAAATGTAAGTTGATTGTCAGAAAATTTTGCAATGCGTAGTTTGGTCAAGAAATTGAAACTTGTTTCTTCTATGATCTTTAATTGATTCTTTTCCATATTTAAATTTTGAAGTGATATTAAATCATTAAAAAGAGATCTGAAATATAAAAAATAAATAAAATTTGTAATTTTAAAGTCTTAAAATATTTTTTTTTATGAATTTAAAGAATGATTTTAATAAAAAAAAAATTTTTTAATTATCTTTTTTATTATGTTTTAATTATAAAATTATATTGATTATGATAAAAATTAAAAAAAAAAAATAAAGATTTAAAAAAAGAATAAAAATTAAAAATTATTCATTATAAAATAATTTGAAAAACAATTTATTAAGAGTGAGATCAAAATGAATATGTTTAAAAATAAATTCATTAAAGTATTATTTTTTATAGATTGAAATTGTAATTACTGAATTGTAATATTAATCTCTTAAGAGTACAATTTAATAATTAATGCTTTTGTTATTTTTATTTTTTCTCTTACATAAAATATTTTTCAATAAATCATTATTACTTTATTTACTATTACTAATATTAAACTTACCGAGATATTGAAGTAAGATTATTCGAAGATAAATCTAACGTAATCAATTTCTTCAATTGTGAGAAGATTTTATTTGGTAATGATATCAATTTGTTGCGATTGAGTGTTAATTTCGTTAAATTGATCAAATTCGTAAAAAGATATTCAGGAAGAGACTCAAGATTATTGGAAGACAAATCGATGATCTCAAGTGATATGGAATCATGAAATAGAAGATCAGGCAATTTTATCAAACCATTATTTTTTAACTCTATCTCTTTGAGGTTTTTCAAATTCGCAAACAATCCATTCGGTAATGTCTCCATGCTTATTCTATTATTATATAATTGTACTTTGTTTAATTTAACATTGTGCTGCAATAGACCTTCTGGTAACGAGGAAAAATTATTCCAAGCCAAATTTAACAATTCCAAATTTACCAATTTCGCGAAAATATCATTGGGCAAAATATTTAAATAATTGCTGCTTATATCCAAGGAATTCAATGACACAAGTTTATCGAATATATTCGATTTGAATTCTGTGAACTTATTCCCCCACATATTTAACATTTTCAGTGCTTTTAATGGTTCGAATGTGTTCGCATCTATTTCCTTCAGTTTGTTATCACCAAGTTCAAGTATCTCTAAATAGGGTATGTAATTGAAAATTCCAGATAATGAATAAATATTGTTTTGGCGTAAATTGAGATTCTTGAGTCGTGGTACATCGGCGAAAGTATCATTGCTAAAATTGGTCAAATTGTTACACGTCAAGCTCAGATATTCCAAATTTGGGAAACCTTGTAAATGTTTCCTATTCAGAACAGAAATTTTGCCATATGAATGGAATATCAGCTTTTCTACATTTTGAGCACCAAGTTTGTACGAGATCTCACTTAAACTCTGGTTTATTGGTAATTCGCACATCTTGAAGTACAATAGAGTTACATTTTCAGGTGGTAACACATTCGTTGGAAAATCAATCCATTTTGGAAAATTTACACATTCAATCTGAAAAAATAAATTTTATTTTTTCGATGAGTTATGATCATTTATTCCACGTAAATTATTATCAAATTAATAGAAAGTAAAAATTTCAAATCTTATGTTGAGAAAAATTAAAAAGTAAAATATATAATTATACAAGGATTCTCATCTAATTTAACATTCAAATTCTTCTAATTTTAAAATAACGACTATATATATATTTTTTTGATTAACACATTTTTATGATATTGATAATTTTACAAATATATACAGAAATATATATAACAGATATATTAAAATCTACATATGTAGATTTATATATGACTACTATTTATGCTTGTCTTTCCATAGTCATTTTTTCATCGAATAGAATTTTTTATAGAATAATTTGAAAAAAAAAAAAGAAAAAAAATTCTGAAAAATTAGACAAGAATAAAAAAGAATTAAACAAACAAATCTATCTAGAAAATATTAGAAAAATTTTATAAAAAAAATAATTAGCATATACGAATAACAAGAAGAAAATATATCAGTGTAATAAGCGATTTTCTTATTTTACACGTTACCTACGAAAATCGTGTATTTTTGTTCAAAATTTATAATACTTCATCTTTGCTTTTTATCGAAATCTCTCTATCTCTTCACGACTTTCATTAATGAATCATCAATGACTCATTCATGCTTACCCCAATACGTTCGTGCGATTTGACTTTCACAGTGAAGGCAGAATAATTATCCGTTGGACATTGTATCTCAAAAACTCCTTCAGGACTTAGATAACAGTTGCAATTTTGCTCCGTTGGACATCGAATTTCCGCATAACATGTCGCGATAACAATTCCAAAAATGATCCAACATCGAAACGAGGATTTTATAAAGTTGAACATTTTGTAAAGTTCGATATGGAATAACGTACGCTGTGAAAAAAGAAGTTTAATTTTTATCATAGTTATGTTAAGATTGGTCGAGAAGGATATAGAAGAGAAATAGTGGTGGACGAATCGGAAATAGTGGTGCAACGAATCAGATTACGCAGTTATTTCCTTATGCAATGATAAGAAAGTTAGTCCGTATCGTGGAATAAAATCAAATTATAAAATCAAGATAAACTTTTATTAAAATCATTAATTTCTATTTGAATATCATTATGAATAATATTTTAGTTAAAAAAAAAATGAAGAAAATATTGAATTATATAACATAATTCAATGAAGAAAATGATTTTATATGCTTCGTGTGATTGACACTTTTTATCTTTGTCAAACAGGAAAAGATTATTAATATTAGTATAGCAAACATTTGATATTTATTATGATAAAAATATCATAAATGTTGTAAAATTGGTTAAAAATATTTCATACATTATTTAATCTTTATTTTTATAACAAAGAAAAAAGAACTCATACATTTGAATATTTTTATATTACATTTTTTGTACAACTACAAACAATTGTTGTATTAGGTTTTCTTTATCGTTAAAATGCAGTTTCATAAGTTTTACAAAATTATCCATTATTTAAAATACGTATTTTCAAAATTACTCAAATAGATAATTCAAAATATTTATTAATAATTTATTATTTAACTCAATTTTATTTTTATATATTTTTATTTTAATCAGGAAGATTATTTTTAGTGCATATCTTATTCTTGGAAAAAAATAAAATATCATAATCGTTAAACAATCTACACGGAAATGCTTTATTTATTTTTATTTTTTGACTTCAGAAAAGATATTCTATTTTTAAAATATTTTTTTGTAATTATATTATGTCAATTATATGAATCATTCTAATAACGAAATTTTTATAAAAACCAATGATTTATTTATTATATATAACTTAATTATCTTTTCGAGTTTATAAAAAAAATTTGTTATTTTCACTATATTTATAACGATTCCCTTTAGAAATCTTCTATGTCATGATTACTATCTCACATCGATAATTTATGACAGATAATTGGATTTATATCGTTTCGATTTTTTTTTTAAAATATTCGTTTTTGTATTTCGAATATTATTCGTTTGCACTAAAAAAATTTAAGTTTTTTTATTAGCTTTTATTTTTTAATTAAGTTTAATTAATGTATTATATCATAAATGACGAATATTTAATATAATTCATCCAATTTTCAATTAGTCTTCGCAATTAACGATGCCTCCGTCCCTTGCTCTAATAAATCATCTTGATTAGACTTCGGTGATCAATCAGGCAACAGTTCAATCAAATTATTCAAAATTGAATGAATTCTATGAATTCAATGAACACATATTGTTACAATCGATTAAATTTTAGAATTATTTAAACTATTTCGAAGTGAACAAAGACAAGTTGAGAATTGTCACCCAATGATCTCGGTGAAAGGAATGGTCGAAAGATTATGCCCATCACGTATCAAATTCTTTGCAACTGTATCCGGGCTAACGACCTGAGTACTTACGTACTTACATACGTGCACTTGCTTAAAACGAGACACGCCTCGTTTCACGAGTCATTGCAAGATGCGTAATGCATACGAGCATGCATGTGAACGAGCATTGGCCAAGGTCGAACGTGATAAGAAAAACGAGAATAATTGTTTCGATATTTATAGTTCCAAAACTGTATTGTAGAAATATTTATATAATTAAAAACATATATAATAAAAAAATATATATATATATTTATGATATTGTAACAATAAATATTTATTGTTTTATTTTTTTTTATTGAATTTTCGATACATTGTTATAATAAAACGCAATACTTACATAGTTGCAAATACGTACTAACAATTGATGACTAGATAGTTATTTACGTGCAATTAAAGCAGAAAGTATACGAAGGCCTGTTTAAAAAATGAAAATTTGTGTCTAGTATATTACCGAAGAATCTTCAATTTTAATTACAATATTTTAATTGAAAGATTTAATTATTTTATTTTATTTAGTTAATTTCTATTTTGAATATTTTATTTATTCAGTTTATAAAAAATTCATTCTATTGTATGAAGAAAAAGATAAATAATTTTTATGATATATTTGACAATAGTAATAAAGTATAAAAATTATGTATATCAATATTTCTTTAGATATCAAATTTCTATTTCCTACTGATAATAGATAAAAGAATAATGATTTAATGTTTTATCATTTTCTGTAATTGTCTGACATTGCCAGACAATTATCAAAAACTGATTTTGATAATTGATTTTTATACAAAATAAAATATTTGTTTCGTTTGTATTTCCTCGAGAATTTCAATGGAAACTATCTCTTTTTAAGTTTTATTCGAAACTTTCTATAATTGAAAAATATTATCTAAATCAGATGTATGATTTTTCTTCCTGACTAATAATAATTAAATTTAAAATCAATAATTATATTAATATTTTAAAATAATTATTTTTTTAAATAATTAAGAAACATTTTGATAACGAAAACCAAAATTTTCATATATAATTAATTTAGAAAATTTTATGTCATATTAAAATCAATGTAATTTTTTATTTATTATTTTATCTATATTCTTCTTTTTGTTATGATATCGCATGCTGCATTTATTTCATTGATATATTATAAGAGTTCTCATATTCATGAAATTCATTTTGCTCGAATATATCAATATTATACTTTTTATTGCGTATATTTCTCCCATTTGATCAAATTAAAATATTATTGTGTAAGTGATAAAAAATCAAATTATATTACATAAATGTAATAGATCTATTTCTTTTAAAAAAATCTAATTCTAATTTAGAATCTTTCGATAAAACTATAGATAAAAAGACAACTACAGATCGATATAAAGATGATTCGTATTAATTTTGTGACTTTTATATATTTTTTGATAAATTTATATGTTTATATAAATTATATACATATTATATATATATACATACTATATATACATATTATATATATATTTAAGAAAAATAAGTAAGAAGTCTTTCAGTCATTAAAAAATTATAATGATTTTTCCTTATCAATTTTTCCTTACTTAAAAAATATTAGATGTTGTAGATTAGTATAATATAGTTAATAATATTTTATTAATATTAAAAAATTTGATAAATAATTACTCTGATCATTTTATTTATTTAGAGCTAAAAATCTGCGCGATTCTGCTACTGCATATCATGTTCAAAAAAAAGAGAACCACAACAAAATAAATGACGTAGAATACTTGGAAATGAATGATACGTTCTCTTTTTTTTTTTTTATGAAATTAATATAACATTTATACAAGATTCTGATAATGAATAAATAGATCGTTTTTAGTTTTAATAAAACTTGAGTTATTTAGAAAATTATTACTATTGAAAAATAGTAAGATAAAATAGATAATTAGGATATTTTTGGAAACATAAGACTAGATTAGTACATTTCGAAACAATAAATAAAATTTATTAATAGCTATTCAAATATTCAAATGTCGGTACATGTGATTTTTAGATTTTCTTAATAGCATAATTTTCCGAGTTTTAAATATTATGTATCGATAAAATATTTTATATTTACTTTAAACTTAACTCTACATACATTTAATATCCATTAAGTTTGAACATAGGCAAGAAATATTGCGAAAAACTTGTGAAAAAATTTCTATTCATGATATGTTTTTATTATTAAGAATCGTATCAAATTTGAAAATATCTGATACGTATCTGATACTACAGATTAAATATTTCGTTATTTTACGCAAGTTATGACGCGGCACTATAAAAAATATATTTACATAACCATGACCATCAAAAAATTTGAAATCTAATTTTTGATTTATTGATATGTTATATAATGCGATTATAGATTATAAATAGGATAACTATACGGTGTTTGAATTCGTTCATATCTCTTATAATGAAGATATTAACTCACGAATTCCATGTCGTTTTATTATTTCAGAAAATTAATTCTTCTTTTTTTTTTAATATAGTTATATTTTAGTATTAATATACTAGTATTAATATTAATATTAGTATTAATATTAAATATACTTATATTTTATATTTGATAATATTATATTTAATAATGACATAATAATGTAATTTTGGTAAAGAAACTATCTCTAATATTTATTTAATATTTTCTATTTAAAAACATAAAAAATCAGATACTTGTGAACAATCTTGAGAAATAAAATACTTAATAAGGATAAATAAAATTCTTTTTTTCAATTAATTTTGAATTATAGTCGTAATCCATGGATTTTCGAATTAATAACTTCGTAATAATGTTCAAGGAAGGAACTAATCAAAACTAATCATACAAATCTATTAGAGATGCGAATCGTCAATCTTATTGTACATTTGTGACATGCACAGGTAGTAGAGGCACATGTTGATTTAGCTGTATATCAAGGACAATTTACATTCTCTTTTATTTCTTACTATGTGAAATTCGTTGAAATTCGCTTACATGTTTAATCGTATACCGAAAGAAAGAAAAAAAAATTTTATTCGTGAAAGAATAAAGAATGATTATTGAATATCAATTTTTTAATCTTTAAATAAAATATTAACATGCTACATATGTATTTTAGAAATTGAATTTATTCGTTTTATAAAAAGAAATGATATTTATTGATGAGATATTTTAATTAAACATAATATTCATTATTATATAAGTACTGATAATGCCCCATTGATCTAGTAATTTTTAAATTCTTTTGATATCTTAGTTAGAAAAAATATTATCATATATGATGTAAATGATTATATATTTGTTTTGAAGAATTAAGATTATTCATTGTTATTTGTTAAATATTAAATATTCATTGGATACACTTAATTAGAGAATATAAAAAAAAATATTGAAATTATGAATAAAAAAAATTCTATTTTTAAATACAAAATTTAAATCGTTTTAAATATAAAAATAATACATTATAATAACAAATATTAAAATGTGATTCAAATATATATAAATATTATTTTTTTAATTAAAATAATTAAAATGCATTTTCCTACAATTATTATAAAACTCTTAATTATTTAAATTAATGGCATTTATGATAATTTGTTATGGCAGTTATATTTTGTTTTTATGTATCGAGAATGTATGCAATAAGATTAATTTCTTTTAAGATAATGTGTCTTATCTTTTTTGTCTTTTTTTTTGTCTTATTAAAGTTCATAAATGCAAAATAGTATAAGTCATTTAAAAAAAAAAAAAAAATGAAATAAAACATTGTCGCAATTTCTTTAAATAGTACAATTCAAAACAAAATATTTTATTAATTCAGTTTGATGATTTATTAATTTACAAGGGCTATTACAGCAATTTACAGATGATAATTAAGATTTTTATTTTGAATATAATTTGTTTATAATTTGTTGATAATGATAATCTTATTCAATGTATATATTTAAATGATGAAATAGTATTTTAAAAATGATATTAAATATATTTATTCATTTTTTTTTAATTTTTGTCATTTCTTATAAAATTTGTTTTTCTGAAATATTTTAATTTCTATTTCTTAACAAGTGATCAATTGCAATCATATTTGAGTACATATTTAAGTCAAATTCTTTACCAATTTGTATATAAAAATAATAAAAAATATTCTAATAAATATGGTAAATATAAATCCCAAATTGACTATTGCATATCTTCAGGAAAAATGTGAATATTGACTTTGAATGTACATCAATATAAGAATCAGTAGTTATGTATGTGTTGTATATTAGAATAATTTCAAATTTATTCATTTATTTTTATACAAATATATTTTATATCATATGTTACATCATATATGTTTTATATCATATGTTAATAAATCATAATCGTAATTATATCTTCAATGTAAAAAATCATTCTTCAATGGAAAAAATTATAATCGATATATTTTATTATAATTATAGTTCCTAAAATAAAAAATAGTAAAAAAAAAATTATATCTAATTGTTAAAAAATAAATTATAAAGTGCACTATTATCATTATATAAATATATATATATTACATAAATTTTAGTTATTTAATTATTTGAATGAAAACTTTTCAATAGCATAAGCAAAATTATATCAAATTTTCAAAACGAAATATAGATATATTTGTTTATTATACATAGTATATTAATAAAAATTAAATTTCATATGGATAAAAAATGAAACTAATAATTTCTTAATTTATCATTATTTTTCTTAAAGATAATATATAATATTCTGAAAGATTAAGAATTTTCATCGATAAATCGACACGAAAAGGAAAAGGTATACTATTACAAAACAAAAGTTAACTGTTTCCTGGAAAACCATTCATAGGAAACAAACTTCTAAATCGCGTCACGCTATGGATTAAAAAAAATAGATTCATAATTAAATATCATATCTCTATTATTTTATAATCATAAAAGTAACAAAAAAACAACGAATAATTTATATTTATTATAATTAAATTTTATATATAATATATATTAAATATATATTAAATATATATTAAATATATATTAATATATATATATATAAGTAAAATAAGTAAAAAATAATTTGTAATTATTCACATATTTCTATTCATATTTTCACGGGAATAATTATTTTTATTCTTTATTTGTATTTAAAACGAACATAATGAATTCGCTCACTGACAACAGATCGATACATGCAAATCGATTTTGATAACACGATAGTATCGTGTACACAATATTATTTAAAATTATAGGTTTATTGTTGTAAAAAATTTTTTTACCAAATTCAATGTGAAGGATTATTCGTTGCAATCATTCGTTGTCACTATTTGTTTTTTTTTTTTTGCCAGAATTATTCAATCACGTGAACACACTGCGTATTTCACAATCACAATCATTCGATAATAAATTTCGTTTGATTCGATTGTAGTAATCGAAACATTATTGTAAATTGCGAAGAAAAATTTCTAATTATTTCAAAATTGATAAAAATTCATAGATACAACGTTCACTGAAACGGTTCAACAAAAACTGTCGATTCCTTGTATGCTTGCATGCTACCGTGAGTCTGAACAGAATGACGAAACAAAACCACGTGACCTGCCACGACCACGATCCAATGAGAAAACTGATGGTGGTAGGGTAAACGGTCCGATAAATACTAGTTTACCGCTAAACGTGGTGGGGGAAGGTCCTTTTACGAAATTTTCACAAAAAACATAAAATTCTGATGAAAATTATTATCATAAATTTATCGAAAAGGAAATAAAAGATAATTCATACTTAATATGCCATGTTATATACAAAGAATAACTGTTATAAATATATATATATATTATAAATATTTACAATTTTAAACTATGTTATTAAGATTATAAAAAAAATGTCTCTTTCGCTTACGGTATTGAATTCGAAAATAGTGGAATAATTATTTCTAATTTAATTATTTTCTGAAAAATAAATAATATTCTTAATTTTTATTGGAATTTAGGATTTTATATATTTCAATTAGTTTATGTGTTTTAATAAATAATATGTCTCATCAGGAAAAGAAAGTGTACATATATTATCTTTTTTATTGTACTGTTATTCAGTGGAAAATACATAAATTAAATACGTATTTTTTTCTTAATTCAAAGAATATATAATCATTATTTGTCAAATCTGGCGAAATGTATTTATAATATTTTGATAAAATGTGGAATTACCAAAAGGTTACGTCAAATATGCTTATTTAGATATTAAAATATGAAATTTTATTTTACACAATATTTACATTTTTTCAATCTTAAAATATATATTTTTAGGTGTGTAATTTCAATTGAAAAATTTTCCTGCAGAATTCTTTTGAACTCTCTACGTTTCTAGTTTCATCGATCTAGTAAATAAATATAAAATAGATTCTGAAGAGGCACTATAGCAAGAGCATCTTCTGTATCAAAACCAGAAGCCTAATTCTTCTTCAAAAGGGTTTTAGATACTTTACTGAACACGTGTTCCTTCTGGTATTTTTCATTCCATAAATGTTTATCGAAGAAAGATATTTACAAGAATCTTCAAGACACTTAAGAATCTTCAATCTTGATTATTGTAGAAGCAGTTTAATATCGTATATTATTTATATATTGTTTTCTTGTATTATTGTTTTCTCTATCGTTAAAATCATAAAATATTAAATGATTTAATTATATTTTAATTATTGCTTTATGTTTATTATTTTATGAAGATTATCATTAAAATGTGTTAAAATTCTGCGCAATTTCTTGAAAAATTTGATACTTACTATATATCTATTTATTTCTCGATAATTTTTTGCACACAACCCACTAAAGCGACATGACACGATGGATTTATAAAAGATGAAGATAGTAATAAGTCAAGAGAGCATGATATCTTTCTTATTGTTAAATACGAAACTCTATTAGACCATTTTATTGACACGTGTAGGTGATTATATCTAGTAAAAGAATTTTGTTTAATACGACAAATTAATCTTCAATTTACTATAATTTTTATAATTTAAAATTTTACAATGCAATTTTGAATAAAATAATAATTGTTTATATTATTTTATAGAAATTTCCTAATTACTTATAGAAACAAAATAATTTATTATTTAAAATTATTAAAATAAAATAGAAAAAGAAAATTTGAAAAATAAAAGCAAGATTATTTATGAAAATAAATAATAAGATCATAAGAATATTTCTCTATTCAGATTTGTCCTATAAAACATTAAAATATATATACATATTATATAATACATGTCAATCAAATCTCAGATAAATCACAATAAAAACGGGATTACCTGAGGAAAGGTTTTTCACCCTTTTCTCTTCCGGTTTAACAATAAATTCGAAAGTATAAGATACGAACGTTCAAGTATCCAGATGTGACACGACATTTCTGGTCACCACATGGCCTAGGTTCTAGAATAATACACTTCCGAGAGCAGTCAGTTTTTTCACGGTAGCTTTCTTCACTGTGAAAAGTATTTCCTATTTAGAATAGCATGTCCCTTGAAAAATCTTAAGATGATTTCATAAGGGTAAGCAGATGTGCATTACGGTGCTGTATTACTATTTCCGTTTCCGCTCTTTTCGTCGACCCTCACCACATGGCTCGAAATGCAGGCATTTGAATAATTTTTCTTTATTAGTAACAAAAAAAAATTTGATCATTTTCACTATATGTTATTGATGATTAATAATTTTTTTTCTTATTAATTTATATATATTATTTTTTTAACATGTTTATTGTGCTATTGTAATATTTTATGTAAAGATGAAAGATAATATTAATATTTTTTTTGAATATCTAATGGAATTTATTTTAGAGATTTATCTTTTTCATAATTTTAAAAAATGAATTAATATTAATAATAATTTTAATTTAAAATGTAATTATTCATTTGCATTTCAACATTTAGTAAAACAGGTTTAAATAATAGTTTCTTTTATTTAAAGTTCTCGAATACATTTTCTTGTTATATTTTAAATTTCTAAAGTATGTATTGTGCGATTTCGTCTTAATTACTTCTTTCATTATGGGAGAGACTTAATCGGTAATAAAATTTGGGAATTTCCCTTTATATACTCTAGGTATAGGATAAACCATTGTATATCTATAAATCTTTTCTAATCCGGATGTAAAATCACGTTCAGTTAGACAAAAAAAATCATACATTTATTGTAATTTTTAATAATTTTTATTGTAATATATCTGTCTACTTTTGCATATCTTTTACGTGTTTATTTTTTTGTACTATTATATTTATAGAAACCAAACTTATTTTTGTTATTTATTTTAGTCTTTTAAAATTTAATTACGATATTTACACGATAAAACAGAAGTGTACATAAAATATACATTTATGTGACATATAAAAACACATAAAAATTAATCCCTTTCTTTATTATTTCTGTTTATATATTCTCGCTTAAACTTATTTTAAATTATTTGACCCGTAATAATTTACATTCTTTTTTTAAATTTGCAAACTTACAAACTTTGTTAATAAATAGACAACGATCGAAAAATTTTAATCAGTTCCATCTCGCGTTTGGATGCTAGAAGTTCCGATTTGTTATTAGCATAACAGAATGTATAAGAAGGTATTTGATATTTTTTATTTCATACAGACAAGAAGAACATTGCATAAGGATAGAGAAGAGATATTACTATTTTTAATTATACGGTTCCTAATACCTTTTCCTACTACTTTACAAATTATATATTAAAAATTAATTAATTATTATTTGTTTATTGCAAAATTGTATATTTTTAAATTTAGATCTTAATGCTAGAATTAAATTACATTCACGTGAAATAAAAACCTTTAATGTATACATATTTTATTTTATTGATGATGATTTTTTTTTTTTTTTTTAATTACAGGAATCAGAATGCAGTGCAAAATTCGAATGGCATACAAATGTCACATGTGCCTGCCAATCGAACTCTCAGCAACCCACAATTCCTTCAAATGCATACGATGTTCAAAACATTTCTCCTAGTCATAGTGAGTACAAATAGGAAATAATTATTTTTTAATAAGATACTTTTTTAATAAAGATACTTTCTATATATCTATTCTATTTAATGGAATTAATAAAATTAATTCATATAAGAAGATTGATAAAATAACAGAATCGTAGAAGAAGTAAATTAAAAAAAAGGGTATAGATAAAATTAAATTTGCTAACACTTTGTTTTTAACGCTTGATACTCATTCTTCGAATTTTAAGACGTAAATGATAATAATAATAATAAAAATATTAAATATTATTCATCTGTTTCAGCTGGTATCGTGGCAGTCATCGTGTTGAGTGTTATTGCTTTAATAGTAGCACTATTTTATTTTCGAAATCCAGATAAAAGAGCGTGTTTGCGCTCTTGTATCAATCCATTTTCTTCAAGAAGAGGCAATAGTCGTGTCCAATATTGCAGAGTATGTTTTATGTAGAAATTATATTTTTTTTTCCATTTCGTTTGATCGATATCCGTATCTTGTTCAGAAATTTAATTGTTTCTTAATAATTTATTCCCACGTAAGAAATTTATTTTTATTATATGCCTATATCCTTGATATATTTCTAATTTTTCTAATTTGTCATACGTATTCAAGTGTTTGATACACCTCTAATTTACATAATTAATAGTTGTATAAGGAAAAATTGTTTAAATAACTTAAATATTCAAATATTACATTATTAGAATAGACTTGCTTGGAAAAGATTCATATGTTATTTAGAATAATTTTTATTTATAAAATCTACTCAATCATTATTATTCGAACGTTATCAATTATTATTATCGTTAAAAAATTTTAATTAAATTATAAAATTAAAATTAATACTTATTATGTATTTTAGGTTGATACCACGGAAGAAGCTCGTCTTCTGCTCGACGTTGATGCCACGCAGTGTCAAACTGATAGCGATGATGATCTTTTGAATGCATAGTCATTTGTTATTTTCTTTTATATACTATTTTATCTAAGTTCAAAATATACGAATATTTTTATTTGTTTGTCAAACGCTGAAAATTTTGCAAATATATTTTTCTGCTTTATTCATAGAGATATCATTTTAATAAAAAATGATAAGTTCTGCGCTTCATGTGATTAATGATTATGCAAGTAAAATTAAACTTCGCATCAATTTTATTATATGAGGCTATGTTATTTTCTATTTATAATAATTTTACATTCTTAAAAATAATATATAATGATTTTGAAGATTTCATTATTTTATCGTTAATAATTTCGATTTTTATATTAAAAAAGAAAGAAATTAGAGCTTATGTTAATTATGTAAAAATTAACTCTATACATGTTTTATCTCTATTACAAACACAAACAATTTATTTCTTATATAATACGAAATAGTTTTCAAAAACAATTATAATATTTTTATAAATTTGAATGATTTGGAAAATTTAATATTTTTTTTTTCTTTTGATGATAAAAATTTCATAGAACATATTTATTTGTCAGTATTTTAAAGGATAGCTATGTTTTAATTACCGATAACTTTTGTGCAAATAGAAAATCATTTTCTATAATATTATTTATATCTTATTATAATATGAAACTTACATATAATATAAAATTTA